AAAAATATGCTGGTGACTCAGGTCATTGTACTTCGGCTTCTCAATTTTCTAACACGAACTACACATAAATTTATAATCAGTTTAAATGGAAATTTGGAGATGACTTTAAAGCTATGAATGTCCAGCTTTCAGCTAAGATCTTCATGTTCTAATTTCAACACCAAATCAGCCCATTTTACTCAAACACAAGCCCCTTAAAATAGAGGCTCATGAATGAGATACTGCCACAACCTAATTAGAGCAGCATGAACAATGCCACTATGATGTCCTCATAGAACTTAAATAAATTCAGCCCACAATGGGTATGGGTATATAATATACACATACTGTATCATTGCATACCAATATATTTACAAATATATACATATACATATATACACAAAAACTATACTCAGAGATTGCATTTAGCATCACAAAAATATACACATGCCATTACAAATAAGAATTTCAAATAAATAAGGTTAACAAAAGAACCCTCAACGTAAATACACTTTATGCTCTCTAAACAAAAAACATAGAAACATATACACTCAAAATATTATTACTAGGAGACTCATATCATTCATATCCAAATCAAATAATTTTGCTCACTAGGTAAGGAGACGAGGGATAGTAGGGACAGTGGCCAAGATGACAGACCATGGCACCTTATGTTCTCTGTAGACTGGACCAACTACAAGTCTCTGTGAAGTATCAATTTTTATTTTGGTGTTTTTGTTTGTTTGTTTTGTTTTTTTAAAATCTGACTGTGGAAGTCCTCTTTTTAATATTGAAGTAGAAAATCTTGGTAAGGCAAAAATGTACCAGATTTTCCAATGGAGTCCAATTCCCTTCTCACAGACAGAAAGTAGCTAACTCACACAGGTTAGACCAGATGTTAACACTTGGAGAAGCATGTCAAAGGAAGCTCCATATACCACTTTTGCAGCTTTTCTCTTTTCCAAAAACTAAATTTAGAAAAATCACTTACTCTATTTCAGGAAATTCTATTGCAAGAAGAAAATAAAGGGCAGTAGCAATAAATGGAAACGGAAAACAAAATTCAGAGCCTTTGTCAGGAAAACTTCAGTTATAACTGCTTCTATAATCTCAAAACACTTCAAGCTGGTAAAATAGAAAGGGTAGAATAAATTCTATGTGCTTTGAGAGATTTTAAGAGCACCACTTTCTAGGAGGAAAATACACAGAAAAACATACACTAGCTAAACATGAATCAGAACTGACTCCAGAAAAATGAGTTTGGTTTTGGGGTTTTTTTGAGGTTTAATAACTAAGGAACATAAACTTGTTAGCTCTGATTGATTAGGTAGCTTTAACATAGAATATATTTTAAAGCTACTGTGACACGTTATATACCATACTATATAAATCTTTCTTGTCCATTATAGAAAGTACAATGTGAGGTACCAGAAAGACTGGGCTGGAGACGGAGGAGCTTTTGTTAGTTCTCTCACTATGTATAAACCAAATAAATTAACAACTCTTTTGGGTCTCAGTTTTCTCATCTGTAAAACAGGACAAACGGTTGCTTTACCAGCTTGAGAATGGTACTGGATAGATAATAAGAGACTAAATAATTCCACTTTGCTTAATTTTGCATACAGTTGATTTCTTATAATCTTATACTTTCTATTTTGTGATAGAACAATAGATTCTTATGTGGTTCTGCACTGATTATTAAAAGAGAGAAAAGGGTGTAACAGAGTCTCCAGTGGTAGTTTGTGCAATTCAAAAGCAAAGACATGTTCTTTTCCCATTGCTAAGTAATTTGTTTCCAATATTTTCATTTCCATTAACTCTGAGAAGTAAAGAAGGGGTTATTTAAAAAAATAAAAATAAAAGGGATAGTGTGCATTTAAGAACTAGAATTCATTGCCAAGGCCACCTTAAATTCATTCATTGACTAGTCTTTCACATTTCTTCTTGTTTGATTAAAGTAGTGCTTCAAAATGTAGAAGTTGGGATTGGGTAAAAAAGGGTCATTCTATTCTAAGTAAGTATAAAATTTTAATTAAACATTAAAAAGAAAAAACAAAACAAACATTAAAAGATGGCACATTCTCAATGAGCCTATCCTGATCATTCTTTGATATACTTCCTCTCTTAGAATAGGGGGCTCTGGAGGCTTAATGCATAGAGCTGCATTATCAACCCATTGTGGTTGGTTTCTATTCACCAGCTGCTCTGAGGGAGAAAGATAGGTAATCTCTTCTTCATGCAAATAATAATTTCTGAAAACTCACTGGCAAGTTGGCTATGACTCAGTTCTGATTTCAATGGCAATTAGTTTTTTGGGTTTTTCCCCCTTTCATAATACAAACCAAAATCCCTTACACCATGCTCTTCACCTTTCCCAAAAGTATTCATCACTCTAACACATTCATTTATCTATGTTTACCTCTCATTCCTTGCACTACTATGTAAGCTCACAAAAACCAAGCATTTGGAAATATTTGTCTATTTTGCTTGTACCCCCCAGTGCCTCTAACAAATTCTGGAGTATGTTATAGTGGTGGTTGTTTTTTTTTTTAAGAAAGTAAAAATATATTTTCTAGAACATTTTTGTTTGTTTCTAAATACAGACTCAAGAAAACTTTAGATTTTCAACTATTATTAAGGGGTTACACCACGATTACCTCAAGGAGCAATACCATTATCTAATATTAGTTATGAATTCTTATTTAGCTTCTGCAACAAGCAGGGAGTCTCTCACTGAAAAACTTTCTGAAATAACTAAGTTAAGTATGATCTAGAACAGATAATGCTGTGTTTGCTAAAAACAGTGAGAGATGTTTTCCTTATGTGGAAGGGGAAATCAATACCTTTTGGAAATAAGGACTTAATTTATAGAACCACAGAATTGGAAGAAATCTTGGGTTACCTTCCTGTAGAATAGAGACATTAAGACAGTTCTCAAAAGGCAAAAAAAAGCTAGCTACCAGGAAGGCCAGGAATAGATCTCAGTCTAATCAGTGTTCCACCTCATTGTTCTGGTGAGGAAAATGCTTAGGGCAATAAATACTATTTATAGTTCAGAGAAAAGGAAAATACATGCTGTTAGGGACATTACTGTCACAGAACTTCAGGGGAATTTAAACATGAAGGCAGTAATTAAGACAGACAATTTTGTGCATTACTCTACATGGCACTGCTATACAAGGAGAGCTATGAAGCTTATTAAATTATTGAAAAGAAAAGCAATTTTAATCTGAAAAGAAATATTTTGCCCCAGAAAAATCCACTAGCAAAGAGAATCTCTCTCCATGGACTTTTGTCATGATTCCTGCAATATTGTTCTTAAATATAAACAAAATAATACAAAATTAAAACAAAACTCATAGCTCTTTCAATCAAAGAACAACCGCAGGTGAAAATTCAGCAAGATGGAGCAGGTAAATGAATAATTTAGACCCAAATAATTTTCTCTGCCAGAATCTAAAAATAAATAAAAATAATTTTAATAACAAAAGTTTCAAAATTTTATAGTAAAATTTTACCTAGGGGCATAGGACAGAGGCACTGAAAGCAATTATCTCATTTTCCCTGGAATTACCAGAGATAGAATGTGAACTTGTATAGAAAATTAGGAACAAAGCTATTTTTTTTTACTAATAGACTTCTGAACTTCAATGTTGAGTAATCAAAATAAGAGAGAAGAAAACAGCCTTCATAGCTAATTCTGGCTAAAACATGAAGGAGATAAAGGGGAAGAAAAGAAAAACTCTTTACATTATACATTAAGTTCTACTTAAAGACAATAATAAAAGTTGTGCATGAATATAAACTATTAAATACAGGGAAACTTAACAAATCTCATTCTCAAATTGTCAATGCAAAAGCAACTTCCTTTTAGGTTTCAAAACAATCTAGTTAACCTCAAGGTTAAATATTTGACTTTTGAAGCCTCATATATTTGAACTAGACAAAAAGATTAACCATTTTGTACTGAATGCCATGGACATCAACTCGGATAGTCTTCAAACTTGAGTCCATGAACTGATGTTTAAATTAGATTTCTTATTACAGATATTGCATTATGAAACCAACAGTTCCATTTTTTAAAATTAAATTCTTCAAAGATAATGTTCTTGTTAATCTCCAGCATCCAAACTCTATAAAGCAAAATACACACACATACCTTATGATAATACAGGACTCACCTACTCAAAACAATATTTATCATCTCAAGCTTCAATTACACATTGTTTTTAAATGCAATTCAATACTATACAGTTTCTTAAATTTTGACATTATTTAAAAGGAATTGTGATTTCAAGAACTGTCTTGATCATCCATCTAAGAATCACATATATTTTTCCTCTTACCACTTTGGAATATAAAGAAATATTATTATGAAGGGCACTGTTCTTGATTTTCATAGTCCATGATGGCTAATTTAATCTTAATTATGTTTTTTCCAAATCCAGACTTTTCCTTTTTTTTTTTTTTTTGTTTTTGTTTTTTTTTAATTTTGTGTGCGTGTACTGTCAAATCAGATCTGACTGGTACAGGAGGATATTGCGCCTCCTTCTCCGGCAGAGCATCTGATGGATTTGAACCGTGTTCCTCTGGGATTGCAGTGCAGCTTCTTGCCACTAGGCCACCAGAGCTCCCCAATAGGCCACCAGAGCTCCCCACCAAATCCAGACTTTTAAGGTCCAAGTGTGAGAGATGGAGTTTTCCTCATCTTACAAAAATAAATGACTGAACTCTTCTTGGGTGAGCATGGTGACTTTTTCTGAGGGTAGATGTTGGAGGTAAGTATCCATACCTCAAAATCAAAACTTAAAAATTACAAGATTAATTTAGATTTTTTTAAAAGACCTCAAAGATTGCACTTTAAAAGTTACCCTAAAAGTCTGAATACTTTTTAAAGTTTACTTTTAAAATGGTGGTTCTAAATAAAAAAAAAAAAACAACTAAGTAAAACCACTATGTGTCTGTCATTACATTAGAAAACGGCACCATTTAAAATCTGTGGCAAACGGAAACTTGTTTCAACAACAGCTGGCTATTGTGTTTCAATAGTCATCTATGGTATTCTCAAGGAACACACTGCGAACATCAAGAATAGATGCTAATTCCAAAATGTGCTTCTGGAGATGAGGGTTTTCCACTGTTTCATCCCTTGGCAGTTGTGGATATGTTTCTGGATAATTTCGTGTTTCCTGGTAGATAAAGAAGAGAAAAGCTAAGTTTTACTATTTAATGGATAAAAATTATGGCCAACATAGACATAGTTTAAAAAACTGTAACAACATAGTATGAAGACAATATTAAAGACTCCTAGGCAAAGAGGTAATAGTAGTGGTGGTGGCAGTGGGGTGATAAAATGGAAAGAACTAAAAGAGCTCTGCTCTTCTGTTAGATTTACAGCCTCTGGAAACCGGCTGGTGGGTCAGTTAAGAGCTGGTTCTGGCTCTACCTCAGAAGATGATATGATTTGTAAAACTGGCCCAGAGCTACAGGCTGATGTTCAAAGGATGACCTGCCTGTCAGTGCATCTGAGAAGTTGTCCTCACGGAATTGTATCCTGAGTGGTTCTGACCTGAATTGTAACATGTTACTTTCCTCATAAACTCCTTAATTATAAATATTCTCCATGAGCTCTGTGTGACTCTTGTAATGAATTAGCAAACCTGTTAGTACAAAAGCAAGAGTTACTTAATAGAAACAGTATTAAAAACTACAGCGACTGCACACTCATGATTATTGCGGCTTTGTTCACAATAGCAAGGAGTTGGAAACAACCTAAGTGCCCTTCAACAAATGAATGGATAGAGAAGCTGTGATATATTCACACAATAGAATTCTACGCTGCATTGAAAAACAAGGAACTCATGCAATATTATTCTTAATGGGTGACCCTTGGAGGACATTATGCTGAGTGAAGTATCTCAGTCACAAAAGAAAAAAATACTACATGGTGCCACTGTTGTAAAGCAGGATTGACCTCAGGGTTGTGGGAGACTGAGAAAGATGGTTTCAATAATATACATTGCATTGAAACAGATGAAGGAGAAAACTGTTTAAAAGGGATATGTTATTAGGTATTTTTGTCATGACAGAAGTTCAGAGCAAAGGCTGCATAGTGGGGTGGACCTGGAGGGAGGGACTGTTAAACAATGAAAGAATTTTTCTTTTACTTTTCCAAGACGGTAGTGTACCAGGGGGAAGGGTTAGGAGGGGAGAAAAGTGCAATAATGAATGAATGGAAATCCAAATTCTCTGTACATTTTTATTGAAATTAATAATAAATTAAGTATGAGGTCCTGGGTTCGATTCCCGGCATCTCCACCAAAAACAAACCAAACCAAACCAAACCAAACAAACAAATAAACAAAAAATAAATTAAGAGAAAAAGGACATGAAAAAAAAAAAACACAAAAACACACCAAACAACTTGTCTCAACAATCACAGTGAATGTGAATGATTTAAATGCACCACTGAAGAGAAAAAGAGTAGCAGACTGGTTAAAAAAACCAAAATCCATCAATACACTGTCTACAAGAGACACACCTGAAAAATGAAGGTAAAGAAAGACTAAAAATAAAAGGGTGGGGGAAAAAAACACCAATCAAATGGCAATCAGAAAAAAGCAGGAGTAACGATATTAATTTCTGATAAAATAAATTTTAATGCAAAAACCATCACAAAGGACAAGAAGGTCACTACATAATGCTAAAAGGGTCAATAGGACAATAGGGCTTAACAATAATAAATATCTATGCACCAAAGGAAAGACCTGCAAAATATATAAAACAAATATTAACAAAACTGAAAAAGTAAATAGACAACACTACTACAGTACTTGGAGACTTCAATACACCACTTTCAAGAAAAGAAAGAACTACCAGAAAGAAACTCAACAGAGACTCAAGAATTAAACCACACAATAAAACAACTCAATCTCATAGATATTTGTAGGTTAATACACACAAGAAAAGCACAGATACCTTCATTTCCAATGTGCACAGAACGTTCTCCAGAGTAAATCACATTTTCGATCACAAGGCAAGCATAAAAAATTCAAAAACACAGGAATAAAACAAAGGAACTTCTCAGACCACAATGCTACAAAATTAGAAACTGATAACAAGTGGATAAAGGAGAAAAAAAAACCCTAGACATTTGGAAGCTGAACAACATTTTGCTTGAACATGACTAGGTACTAGAAGAAATAAAAAATGAAATTAAAAAGTTTCTTGAAACAAATGGCAATGAAAACACCACTTACCAAAACCTCTGGGAAATAGCCAAAGCTGTACTAAGAGGTCAATTTATAGCAATAAGCAAAAACATCAAAAGGCAGGAAAAAGTGACCACTGACTCTCTAAAGCAACATCTCCAGCAAATTGAAAAAGAGCACCAAAAAACCCCCAATACCTCTAAAAAAAGTGGAATGATAAAAATTGTTGTTGTTGTTGTTATGTGCCGTCGAGTTGTTTCCGACTCATAGTGACCCTATGCACAACAGCCCTAAACCCTGCTCTATCCTGCGCCAACCGCACTGCCTTTGACACACCCATCC